TACTAATATTCGTATTTAAAGGAGGTTAATTATACTAGTAATCTTAAAAGGTCTTAGCTAGTATTTTAAGCTAGCTCTATTTTATTAATTCCCGATTATACGATAACCGGCAACTCGTTTAATATATAATAATATATAAAATAATAAGCGATTCTTACTCTATAATATAGGATTTTATCTATAATTAATATACTACTTATTAGCTTATATAATCGGGAGAGTATATTATAGCTGCTTTATTTATAATAAGAATACTATTCCTTATAAAAGTAAAAGGACTTAGGCTTACTATCTTAAGTTAGCTAAGAAAGCGGCTTTTATATTAATAGTACCGCCGCTATAAGTAGTATTATAGAGGTCGTAAGGGTTAACGCTAGTCTTATAGACGGCTCCCTTAGTATAGCGAGAACCTTATTTTTCTTACTAGCCGTCGCGCTTTTAATTGCTTCTAAGATAGCTATGATACTTCTTATCCGCTTAAGGAGTAGTAGGGTACTCCCTTAAAGAAGCGGCACCCTTTTTAAGGAGATATCTATTAAATCTATTAGTTAATAGCTTATACTATTATAGAGTAAGTAGAGGTATATATATAAGTACTATTTATAAGATAATATTAATAAGCTATATAGAGCTCTTTTATACGTAGCTAGTATATATATATATATATAAGATCCGGCCCTTTATATATAACTATATAGCTTAAGCTATAGCCTAAGCTTATAACCTATAATAGTTAAAGACTCTTATAACTACTACTCTTTATATTATACTAGCGCTGCCTTTCTATTAAGCTTCCTTACTATTACCTACTACTAAAAGTAGCGGGCTATATAGCCTTAGCTAGTCTTTATATATAGGTCGCTAAGATAGCTTCTTCTTACTTATACTTTATATAGTATACTTTTCTATCTTATTACCTAGGTCTTATTAGTTAAAGCCTTAGTATACCCTTAAACGCTTACCTATTAAATTTTAAACTTATATCTTATATAAATTATAAATATATCTACCTCCTTCTCTTTAAATATAACTTTACGCGTTCTACTTATCTTAAAACCCTTTATATCTTACTAAACCGCCTTTTAAAGTTTCTTCTTTTCCTCTTAATATATTTTTCTATATATATATCTTATAAACCTTCTTTATATAAGCTCCTTATCTTAGCTTACTACTAATACTATATTATATTTTCGTTTAATATCCTTTAACTTCTCTTATATACTATAGCTACTAGCCCTTCCTTACTATACTAAACTCTTAAGATAGTATATTAATAGGGAGCACTCTTACCTTTATTCCTTACTACTTTTAGCTTCGCTTTAGTAATATTACTCTTTTACTATATAGCCTCGCTATATCTTTATCTCTATTAATAGATAGCTCTACCCTATACCTCTATAAGCCCTTTATTATTAGTAAGGGTATAGGCAGCGATATATCTATAATATTTTTTACCTAGCTTAACTTCCTTATAAAGTTTACTTACTAAGATAAGTACTATATTAAAGGCCTTAATACTAAAGCTATTACTTAAGTCCTCTTACTAGTACCTTTATAGCTACTAAAGTTAGAGTATATACCCCTCTAAGCTAAGGGCGATAATCTAGGGCCCTCCCTCTTTTTTAGTCTAAACCTCTTTATTTATAGCTAGCCGGTTATTAATACTAACTAGTTTAAGTAATAGTTCTTTATAAGCGGCCGCGTTTACCCTTACGCTCTCTCCTAGGAGGTAAAGCGCCGCGATAGGCTTAAGGCCGGCCTAGATAATACTATTCTTTATACTATACCTACCTTTATCGTCCGCGACTAAAGTTACTAGCTATAAGCCCCCCTCCTCTTTTTATTTTAATATACTTCTTTACTTACTACCCCGCTAACTTTACCCCTTAGCGTCCTACTATACTCCTTAGCCTTTAATAGCTAGTTCCTATCTATACCTCTTATTATCTCCTTTTATAGCGTAATAGCTAGGCCTAGCTTTAACCTCTTATATCTAAACTTCCTACTTAGTCTTAGGCCTAACTAGCTCCGCTATTATAGCTTTATTTAGCTTATAACTTATATTACCCTTAGCCTATTAAATAGGATTCTATTTAAGGGCTACTACCCCTTTAAGGTTTTTATTATCTTTCTTATTTATATTAACCCTTAAGCTATACTATATAAGAAAATCGCTAAAAAGCTTAACTCTTCCTTCCTACTTAGCGTCCCCTTTACCTATACTAAAAAGGTTATTAGCCTTCTTAACTACCGCGTTATACTCTCCCCCTTAAGCTTAGAGCGCGATTATATCTTTATTATTATCTTAGATAGCTAGACCTTTATCGATAGGCTCTTAGTAGCGGCCGCCGCTACCTTAGCTTCCCTTCTTACTACGCCCTTTAAGTATTAGACCTAATCCGCTTCCTTTACCTTCGATTCCGTTTATATTACTTTATACTCTATTACTATACTAGCCTTAACCGCGCCGCCCCCCCTTTCCTTAGCCCCGGCCCTACTAGCCCTCGACCTTATTACGCCGCCGCTTAAGCGATCGCCCTTAGCCCTTACTAATACGCCTATAAAGAGGGCGCGCTTCCTATAATAGTAGTATTCGCTGCTTTTCTTATCTTTAAATACCGTTAGCTCTGCTACCCCCTCCTCCTCTCTTTTACTAGCCGCTTTTCTATCTTAACTAAATAGCGCCTTACCTATTCCCGCTTTAATAGCTAGCTTAGATTCCCCTCTTAACTCTATTATTATAAGTACCCTTAACCTACTTATATACCCTCTTTACTATTATATATAAAAATAAGCTACTTACTATAAACCTATTACTTTCTTATACCTCTTACCTTTACTAAAATAAACTATTCTCCTTCTTAAGGTACTACTCTTAACGTAAATTATTATTATAAAATTACTATTACTTTATATATTATAGCGTTTATCCCTTTTAAAGATAGCTTTAGCTTTTAAACCTATTTCTTATAAAAGTACTTACTTTTAGACGTTCTCTATAACCTTATTTATATCTTATATATTATACTTCGCCCTTTTTCTTTTCCTTACTAGCTTACTACTATACCTCTTAGCTATATTTAGCGGTAATAAGGGGCCTATAGTTATACTTTAGTAAAAAGCGTCTTTATTATAAAAGCTAACTCCGCTTTTTATTTATTAGTTATTACTCTATATAAAGGATATAGTTTTCTACTATAAAGTATTATATACCGTTCCTTAGTTATATAAGCTATAGGGATAATAGTCGTTAAAGTCGGCGGGTTTTATAAAGGCCGTTATAGCGTTTAAGGCTAGCTATAAGCCCGCCTTTACGGCGTTACTTACTTTCTCTTACTAGCTCTATAGCTTACCTTTAACTTATATCCCTTCTTATATACCTTCTAGTCCTCTTTTTAGTATTGCCTACTATAGTACGCTACCGTTAGGCATCGGCTATACTTCCTCGCCCCCGCTATCTCTCTATAAACCCGGTAGACCTTCCCCTCTATACTCTATATATCCTGCCCTTATATTTATATCGCGCCCTTATTTCCGCCCGCCTATCCCGCCTCTACTATCGTATCCTATATTTCCTACCTCGTCCTTATTTTATATCCTTCTTTACTATAAAACGACGACACGACTACGAGTATAAACGGCCTCTCTATATATAGGTATAATATCGGGCTCTATAGAATATCCTTTACGACTTCGCCGTAGCTCTCGCAGCGCCCCCTTACTGCCTTCCGACACGCTACCTCGTGCTACCGTAGGATCGGCCTTATTTACTATAGGAATAGTGCACTAGCTACGTGGTTCGGCCTCGCCTAGCCTACCTACGTTACGAGCGTCTTCGGGATACTATACTTATACTTAAGCTCCGTGGCCCTAAATTCGCACTAGAACTCCACGGAAACGTTATAAGTAGCCATGCTATAGTTATTTTCCTAACTACTCGATCGGTAGCTAGGGTAGACGCTTCTGCTCTTATTCTCCTATTCGTGCCTTAGCGCCCCTCTTATACTCCCTTCCTCTCGCTTACCCCGCAATCGTTATCACCGCTTTACTTGCCTTCTTGCTTTTTCTGCCTCTTCCCCGCGGCGGGATGGTGCCCGAATGGCCGCTTTCTTTACCTACCTTTTTTGCATGTTTTAGTTCCTAGCGCTCCCGCCTGCTTGCGTTCTTTCTCTCGCCCTGTCTTTGTCTTGTTTTTGTCTCTCCAATCTTCGGCCTTCGTTCCTCAAGGCTCTTTGCGCAACCCATGAAGGGTTGCCTTACCTGTTCCTCAAGGCACTCGTTCCTCGTTCCTCAAGGCAAAAACGATGGCGGCGTTTTTTTTTTCCTTTCTCCCCGGGGAGGAACCCCAAGAACCTTTCGTCACTCGTTCCTCGTTCCTCAAGGCAAGGCACGTTCCTGTTGGAGGACTCCAGTGGGATCTGGAAGGTTCCATGGATATGGCGACTCCGTCGCCTGAGTCTATATAGACTCGGATCATCATCACATCTGTAGCTAGATAGACAAGCATCAATAGATTGCTCACTCATCCTTTCCAATCCGCAGGTGCGGACAACAGTTCCTCAAGGCATAAGTCCTTTCGTTCCTCAAGGCACTAACGTTCCTCAAGGCATGGGGGGTTTTTTTTTTTCCTTTCTCCCCGGGGAGGAACCAGAAGAACCTTTTCGTCACTAACGTTCCTCAAGGCAAGGCAAGGCAAGTTTTTGGGTTTTTTTCGCGTCTAGAAGAGCCTTTCGTTCCTCAAGGCATTTGGCGGGGGAAAATCGATGGTGGCGGTTTTTTTTCCTTTCTCCCCGGGGAGGAACCCTAAGAACCTTTCGTCACTCGTTCCTCGTTCCTCAAGGCATCTCTGTCTAATGAAACCGCGTCCGCTAAAGCAAATACGGAAGGGTCGCGGTGCTATCACGCCCGTATGGTCGAGCGATTATCCGGGCCATCATGGGGTAGGGCTTGTCGAATTGCCCTTTTTGAAGGAAGAAGGCCATATTGTGGCGCCGCCTTTCTTACATGAAAAGGGTCATGCCGACAATGCCGGCGAGGATACTGAAGGCAACGGCGACGCGGCCGGAGCCGGCAGTGACGGCACTAGGACGTCCGGAGGCAGCGGTGCCATTGGAGGCAGCGCCGATAGGGCGACCCTGATTGGCGGAGGCAGAGCTGGCGGCGCCAGGGTTGGAGCCGGCGCGACCAGAGGCGGGCTGGCTGGTGTTGTCGGTGGCCTGGTTGCCACCCTTGACGGTGGCTTGGGTATCAACGTTTGCTTGGATGTCACCGACTCTGTTGGCGGGGGCCACGTTTGGCTGGCCGGCGGGGGCAGGGGCGGCTTGCTTAACGGCGGGAGAAGAGCCGGAGGGCTGCTGCTGGATAGGGGCGACCGGGGCGACAGGGGCAATCGAGCCGACGGGGCCAGGGACGGCCTGCTTGACGGCGGGAGCAGAGCCGGAGGACTGCTGCTGGACAGGGGAAATAGGGGCAACCGAGCCGACGGGGGCAAGGGCCTGCTTGACGGAGGGAGCAGGACCGGCGGGAGCGGCGGCCTGCGAGCGGCGAGGAATGCACTTGGGCTCATCAGAGGCAGCCTTCTGAGGCTGGCTGGGGTTCTTTTGGGCGACCTGAGCACCAGGGGCCTTGACGTCCACAGCAGGCGTGGTGATGGCAGCGAAGGCGACAGCGCGGACCTGCTCGACAGGGACACGGGCCGGGGCCACGCCCTCGGCGCGCGGCTGGGCCGGTCCGCACTCCTTGGCGACGCAGGTCTTGACGGAGAAGCACCCAGACTTGCACTGCTCAAAGGTGTAGGTGACGGAGGCGACGCCGGACTCGCCATTGGCGACGAGGTTGAAGCCGCAGTCGTTGCCCTTGCAGGTAGACTTGGTGCACTGGTTGATGCTGGCGCACTGGTAGATGGCGACGCCAATCTCGACGGCAGCCTTGGCCTCCACAGCCGTGACGGCAACGACCCGCTCGTTCTCGACCTTGACGTGTGTGAGGCTGCCGGTGTCACAGACGAGCTCAACAGCGCCAGAGGCCGTCACGTTGTGGCTGACGGCGAGACCGAAGACGTACTGGCCTTGGATATTGGTGACAACCCGGCCCTGCTGGCCGGGCTCGCAGATCTCGAAGCGGAACTTGTTCTCGACCTTGGCATCTAGATCATAGACGAGGCGCCAGCTGGCGGCGGCAGCCTTGCCATGAAGGTTCTGGATGGCGACGAGGCCGCCGCGGATCTCGAATGTGAACTTTGCAGAGAGCTCTAAGAGAGCCTTGACATGGGCCTCGCCAAGGATAGTGGCCTGAGGAACATGGGGCGTGACGCTGGAGCTGGGGTTGGGGCCTGCGGCAGAAGCGCTAGGAATCATAGTGGCAACTGGATTGGAGGTCTGAGAGGCGTCGACAGACGCGGTCTTCGTTCTATTGGGGGTAGTGGTGGCGACAGTTTTCTTGTCATCAGACATGTGCGTCGACGTGGCCACGTTGGAGGAGGAGACGCGGCCAGACGTGGAGAGCTTGGAAGAGGCGCGTGTCGACGTGGTCGGCTGGGAAGGAACGTGGCTGGATGTGGAGAGCTTGGGAGAGACGTGAGTCGACGTGGCCGGCTGGGAAGAGACGTGGCTGGACGTAGAGGGCTCCGGGTCAATAGGTCCAGGAGAGTCGTCTGTCAACACTCGGGTGCACTCGGTCAGGCTGTTGATATTGTCGACTCCAAGTAGGCTCAGCCGAACATACTCTCTGCTATAGTCCTTTTGCGAGGTCCGGTTAGCTCACCCGCCGTACATACAAGAGCGCGCATGCATTCGTCAACATACCCGAAGCCAGGGAAACAGCCCCATGAAGCCTCTGAAGGATTCCCACGCCGGCTGGACGCGAGCATGTCTACTGAGCTTGTAGTCGCTGTCCAGCCGGAAGAAACCCTTGGGGGCTTCGTCGCTCGCCACCAGGTCGTAGAAGTCGGTATCCCAAATCTCGGGCGTGCGATCTAGCGGAAGGCCTGCTCTGGCTTCGTCGACGAATCGTTGCTTGGCCGATGTGTGGGCGCCGACGAGAGCGGCAAGGCCCACGGGGGCAATCGTCTTGTTCCCAAACAGCGAGATGAGCTCATCCGCACTCTGTTCTTGAGTAGGGAGCTTTCCTTCTGGTGCTGGCGTGCTCCTGTCCTTGCGGCCGACGAAGGTGCGCACGCCGGGTCCAGACAAGCAAAACACGGTTCCGGCATTGTGCCCCAGTTGAATCAGATCGGCCATGCCGACGCCGTACTGCTTGTACTCGTCGTACCACTTCCTCGTCTGTTGGCAGATTGTCTCCAACCCCTTATTCTCAGCCCGCGATTCGCACTCTCCCGCCAGGACAATGGAGCCGTCGGCGCCACCAAGGGGGTCACTCTCACGGGACCAGGTGCCGGCATCGTGGAAGCCAAGACGGATGGCAGCGCGAGCCAGATCGTTGCAGTCGCCTTTGGCATCCTTCATGGCCTTTCTCATGTCGTTGTACACGTGCTTCCAGATGCAGCACGTGTGTGTCTTGCAGACAGACGAGCCCTTGGCCGGTAGGGGGACCGGGTAGGCTGTGGCCTCGTCCTCGCCTGGTACGTTGTCGTCATTCCGCAGGAGAGCCTTGACGACCTTTCCCGTATGTGTCAGCTGGCTGTCGTCTAGAGTCTTGAGATCGCCAATCAACTCGGTCGAAATCTGGGGTTCCGACTGATTCATCCCTAAAGTCAGGTTGCCCATATTTGGAAAGGCGGATGCTGCGCCCACCATCATCAAGATGGTGGTGGTTCCGAGAGGAGATTCTAGTCTCATGACGGGCTACCTGGGTCCGGAGGAGGCAAATCACACGAAAATACAGGAGCAAGAATACAGGCAGGAGCTCTACATGCATCAAAGGAACTGGGATCCGTCTTCTGTTTATACGTGTGGGCAGCTTAAGATACCGTGCTTGAATTAGCGCAGACGGATTGAAATTAAGAAAAGCAGGCAATATAATGGGACAGGGAAACTCGTATACGGATCTAATTAAACAGCCGCATAAACCAGTGGTGGCCTAGATCCAAGAACCACTCGTCTACTTCGTATAGAGAACCCGAGCATGTACTACGTCATTACGCATGTGTATAGGCCTATTGCGGCAACAGATAAGTGGGAATAGCCTTGTTTGCGCAATGTGTGAAAATCCTATCCCTTTGAGTGCCCGAAGGGAGCAAGGGGGTCACGGACAGGGATACTAGCCAATAAGGACACTAGATAATTAGGGGTACATAATTTAACTAGCAAATTAGGATATGGTAGAAGTCCCAGCAATTAGGCCGGGTATAAATAGCTACATTACACTGGTTATATCCCCTACGAGTCTTCGTAGGCGGCTTCTTGTTGCTGCTAGCTGTGCCCAACGGCTTGCGCTGACTTTGTGATCTTGGCTGCCTAGCTTTGAAGCCCTGACAAGCAAGGCAGGATACGCTTTTGCCGCGGTTGACATGTTTGTGCTGCGTAATAGGGGTAAATATGTCCCTAGCTCGAAACCGTTGTCTAGAGCTACCGTCTTTTCCGTAAGCCTCGCAAAGATCTCTTATAATGCGTTGCCGCCACTCGCGCTATAAGGTTATTCGTGACCAGCTTGGCTGCCCCTAGAGCTAAAGAAGGTAGCTATTAATAAGAGCAGTCTTAAGCAGGAAGGTCCACGCAAGTGCCCGCCAACTTCCCCTATAAACACGGTAGTCTAATCCCCCCCCTGCTCTTAGTTAGTCACCAATATTAACACCGCTATTTAATTATTATAGTCTATAGAGATAGACGGTATAGGAAGACGTAATATAGGCTCGGCACTGAATTTTTGCTATATTAGGCGTGCTCGGGGCTATATTATTATCGGCCGGCGCCGAATTCGCTCTTTAAATTCCTCGCCGGAATAGACTATTAAGAGGAATAGCATAAGGTCGTTATCCTTCTAAGCGAATTAGTTAACCTAGAAGAAGAAGAAGACGAATTAGTAGGGGAATTACTAGAGAGCCTATCTTCTAGCACTTATACCTAACCGTTAGGGGTTAGCGCAGTCTTTAGTATGCCCTAAGGCTAATAGTCCCCCTTTATATTAGCCTTCTTTGCCTCTATAAAGGGCTTATAGAAGCTATAGTTAATTCGGGCTATGCCTATAGCCTTAATCCCTAGCTAACGAAGAGCGTTAAGGAGGTTCGGCGAGGAAAAGAGGTTATCGAAGAAGATATAGTATATCTATTTTAGATATTGCTTAAGTAAGGCAATAACGACGCTCTAAGTCGGGTTAAGAGAAATACTGCCCTCTACTATGCCTCTCTTCCTCTTCTTCCTAGTAGCCGGGCTAAGGGCATTAGAAGGTTAGTGCTAAAGCCACCGAATAAAATAGCCTGCTTAGGCTATAACCTATACTTTAAAGCCTATAGGCGTAGGCTTATTCTTAACTATAACTAGCTACTTTAACCTACCTATATAGCCGACGATATACTTATCTATAGCTAAATAAGTGCTTAGTTAATAGAGGGTAAGAGATACCTACTATATATATTCTGCCTACTTATTGGCTTATACGAAGGGTATAGGGAGCCTATATAAGATACTATTTAAGTTGCTAATCTAAATATACCGTTAAAGAAGAAAAAAGCGGTTAAATAATATATACTAAAGGATTAAGTATATAAGGACTATTAAGTTAGTTATAGAGGTCCTCTAATAGTCTCGGACTCTTATTTCCTTATATAAACCTATATAAATTAGAGTAGTAACTTAGAGAAAGACCTCTCTAAGAGATATCTCTATCTAGGTATTCTCTCGAGAATACTACTACTTTAGACCCTCTAGGCCCGGCCTTAGACTATTATTTATATACCCGACCTAGCCGTTAACTAGGGATTTAGGTAGGAATTGCTAGAAAAGTAATAATAGCGTTAGTAGTAGCTATCGGGGCTATGGCTCGCGCTCGGGAACGTAAAAGGGGGTAAATTCGTGGCCTCGTTCGGGCTCGGGGTCGAATATAGGGCGGACTATGCTATCGATAGGCTGCTCGCGCTAATAGTGGTCTAGCCGTATATAGAGGGTATATTCGAAGCTATTTATAGCTAGAACAGCTGCCTGCGAAGCTTATAGATCTTATTACGAAGCTATAGAGTTTAATTTAAACGCATTGCTAGTAAAAATAACTATTGAAGGTTTTGCTGATGCTGCTAGCCCCTGAATGCGTATCTGATATGTAGCTACGTATTGTGGGGCCCGTGACCCCCTTGCTCCCTTCGGGCACTCAAAGGGATGCCCCGTGTGCTTGACTTCCAGTGACTCCCGACGGCCCCAGCCTACAAACTACATCTTAGGTTGCGGGGCCTGGCCAGGCAGGGTGTCGCATATCAAGCCTGCCTAGGATGATTACTCATGAAGTGGCGATATTACTACGCAACCGCTGTTGCCTGCCAGGCAACAGCTAATGTGTAGGCAGGCAACAAGCCTTTCATTTGTGTATAAAGAGCTGCACAATTCTCTGCAGCTCATTCACTCACTTCTTGTTCTTTAGATAATTCTCATCAATTGACTGATGCCATTCAGGTCGCTTTGCACAGCCGCTGTCGTGCCAGGTAACTGTCTGACGGAGGGGCTATGCGAAGGGGGGGCTGTTGTGCCGAATAGAGATTTGGGGTTATGCGATTGGCAACTCTTACTTTCCCCTTTTAGTTCCGTGCCAAGAAATCTTCGCGTATTCTCCATAACCTCGCCGACACCCGAGTTCCTCCCTTGAATTCCAGCCCAAGGCACCTGCTCCGTGACACGCGCGAGTCATCGCAACAGGTCTAAGTGCTAAGCCTCACGCTTGCCTCATATAGACCTATATCTGGTCTTGCGCTATAACAACAGAGAAGGCCAAGCCGCAAAACTTTAAAAGGACCAAGGACTGTGTCTAAAAGCAACAGTGTCGCTGGCGAGTCGGCGACCGCAGCCAGGCTGTCTCCGCCCGTTGCTTTTTTTAGAGGCGCTGGGGATCTGTGACATCAACCTTTGGACCTCGGAGGTGGGTTTGTTCAGGAAGCTGGTTTGCGCTGCCATCCTACCCCCCACACGGGAACGGGATGAGGAACAAAGCAAGCAAGCGGTTCATATCACCAATGCAGAAGATTGTCTCGGCGGTGGCAGGAGTTCATACGGATCGAATGGAAGTCATCCACGAGTACGCGTTGCCGCCATGGACCAGCCGCATCCCAGTGGTGGGCGAAGACGACCCAGCGAAGGCGGTCAAGGCAGCAAACGATGTCGGTGGAATCATCGTAGCAACGTCTACCGGTAGCTCGCAGAAAGACGGCATGGTGGGAATGGGAGGCGTCGTATGCGGCATGGCTCGCAACCGCCCAGGCGAGATTTTTGGCAGCTATTCCGTCACTCTCGGGCCTGCAGACGAGCAGAATGGCGACCGATACATGGGCACCCGGGTGCCCAAATTACGTCAGCCGCTATACAACCACTGTAAAGCGCTGCAACTTTAGCGCGTTTGCGCTTAATCCTAGTGTGTGCGCCAACCGAAGGATCAGACGATACAAGTGCTGTAACTTAAGACAGTTCTTTACGGACGATATTGCACCCGCGAAACGTTTACTTATATAAAAAAAAGAGCTAACTTTAATATAGGTTATAGTTAATAACTCCTTACCCTTTACTACTTTTATAAATAAAAGCTATTAATATTATACTATAGTTAATAAAGCGCTTATATAAAAGATATAAGTATTAATAAAAAGAATTACTTTAATATAAGTAAAAAGTGCCTTAAGTATAATAAAGGGTATAGAGATTAAGGGTATTATATAGCTAGCTATAAAGGTTAATAGCTATAATAAGCTAATTATAGCTTATATAATCCTTTAACTAAAGTTCCTTATAGTTTTAAAGAAACCTTAGTTATTATATATAAAGTTATACTTAGTTTTATATTAAAAGAAGTAATAGTTTAATCTTATATAATAATAGTTCTATTATAATAATAGTTTTATAACTATAAGTATAAGCGTTTAAGCTTTATACTTCGCTTAAGAAGTTCTTACTTTTATCTTTATAAAGATAGTATAATAAGTAAAGTAAGAGGAAGGTTAGGTAGCTATTAATATAGCGGTTTATATAGTTAGCTTATTAAATATTAATAAAGCTCTTTAAATAAAAAAACTAAAGTTACTTTTTAAGCTATAGTAATATATATTAAAGCGCTTTTATAACCTCTTATTATTATTTAAGTTATAAAAAATAAATAAGCTTAACTTATATAAGCTAATAGTAAACTATAAGGTTATACTTATATTAATAAAAAAGGGTAAGACCTACTTATATTATTTAGCCCGCTATATAGTATATTATATATAAAGTTACTAGTATTAAAGAAGATACTAAGGGACTTCTTAAATAAAGATCTTATTTAAGTAAGTAGTTTTAAGGTAAAGGCGCTTATTTTATTTATATATAAGCTAAGGGGTAGGATATACTTTTATTATAACTATAGAGTACTAAATATAATTATAAAACTAAACCGCTACCTCTTAGCTTTAATCTTAGATATATTTTATACCCTTTTAAAAGTAAAGTAGTTTATAAAGCTTAATATATTATAAGTATTTTATAAGGTATAAGTTATAAAAAGAAATAAGTAAAAGATAGCGTTTTATATATATTATAATTTATTTTAGTAGCTTATAATACTTTTTAGCTTCTTAAAAGCACTTACTACCTTTTAGTATTATTAATTATTATTATTAAGATTATACTAGTAACCTATTTAAAGGTATCTAAAACTTCGACGTTAAATAGGAGGGAAAAACTAAAGTACCTAAAGGAAAACCCTCCCCTCTTTTATAGCTAGTCCGCCCTTATACCGGGTCGCGGTTATAATATATAGGAATCTTACGCCGGCTATCTTAGGTATCGTTATAGTTAGTCGGAATTATATTAGCCCCGCTATAAAGTAACCTTAGAAAGTAACTCCTTTATATACGCGGGGTATATTATTACGGGACACCCTATAGTCGATAATCTAGGTACTTATAATAATATCGGCCTTCCTTAGGGAAGTTACCCCTAACTCCCTAAGGCTTCCTATAGAAGAAGGAACCCGGAAGCTACCGGGCAAACTCTAGGAAATTACCCGGAAATCCTAGAAACAATAACCGAGCGGATTATATAGACGTTTTATAGAGATTTCCCCTAGGGATATATTATATAGGGAATATACTATAATTTCCCGAGTAATAATAGCTCCTTAAGGATTATACCGATATTTCCCTAAGAAGTTACTATAAGAATATAGCGGGGAAATTATAGAGAAATACCTATGCCTACCTAGGGAAAATACTAGGAAATACCACTAATACGCTATACTACCGTCGCACGATTATAAGGTTAAGATATTACTCGGTTAAAACCCTAAGTAAGGTCTTACGCTCGCTATAGTATATATAGAAGATAGAGAACCCGCTAGATCTTAGGCGGGTAGAGAAGAATATAAATAGTTATTACTACTTTTACTTTAACTTATAAGACTAGTAGCTAGTCTATATTTAACGCGCGTAATAACGTACGGTAGCTAGTCTATATAATATATTTAATTATATATAGTAGCTAGTCCGTTTAATTACCTATTAAACCTATACCGGATCTAGGTAGACGGTAAGGTTAACGTACTAGCCCTATACCGAGGGACTAGTATATAATAAATAGTAGTAATTCTAATTCCCTTAAATATCTATTCTCCTAAAGTCTATATTTAGTAGAACGGAAGATAAAAAATAAGGAAAGGAATAAGTTAACCTTAACCTATAAACCCCGATATCTTTTTAGGAAGAAAGCTCTTACTCGCGTACTAACGAATACCGGCTTCCTAATCTCTTTTTATAGAAGAAATACTTAGGGAACTCTAGATAAAGGCAGAACTTCGATATATTAAAGCTTAAGTATTATAGAGCTTCTATTAGCGGTTAGAAAGATACCTATTTCTAGGTTATTTCCTATTAAGTGCCTATAGAAACGGAAGATAGCTAGATCGCCTACCTTAGTAATAGGAATAACGCTTAAAAGAATTAAGAGCGGAACTTCTACGATATAACTTACTAGCTTACCTAGCCGATCGTTAAAACCTATAGGAACGAATTAATAACCTAGAATACGTTCTAGCGACGAGGTAATATTAGCTATAAGTAACGGAGCCGCACGGAAATCGGTATAGTATAGCTTCCCCCGCCCCGCCCTAACTACCTCTATTAAAAGGATAAAGCCTTAGAAGTTCGCTAAGAAGTTCGCTAAACTACGACGAATAAAATAAGGAAGAACCTCTAAATAATACTACCCCTAGCGGCACGTTTATAATAATAACCCCGGCGAACTAGCTAGTAAGTCTAATTATAGAAGAAGCTCTTATAAGACTACTAGTAAAAGCTATAGTAAGAGAAACTAGGGATAATACTACCGTAAACCCTCCTCGAGCACCTATAGCATGTATTAGACTAAAAGATATAAGGAAGTTTAACCCCGCTAGCCCCTTTAATATAACGTTTAACGTCCTTAAAGAAACTAAGAAAACGATTATATATAGAAACGTTAATCGATTTATCGATTCCTTAAAATAGGTAGCTATCCGCGGACCGGAATACGCTAATAAACTAGTAATACTAATCCCTAGCTTACTCCGTAGAACCGCTATTAAATAGTATTCCGGCGATCTTAGCGAGTCCGACTAAGCTATACTTTATACCCTAGACTAGGGATATACCGCCTAGTATACTAAACTATAAAAACGCTTCGCTATCTAGCTAGAAGTAGTTTTAAGATCGTTATAAATAGAACGATTTACTACCTTAGATATTATAAACGGAGCCGACTTCTATAGATAGATATTAAAGCTCCGCTAAAAAGCAAAAGTAGTACTATACTTAAAAGAGCACCTTACTATACTAGTCTATTAATAACTAAACGTATTACTATAAGAATTATTCCGCTAACCTACTAGTCTAGAATTATTCGATACCTAGATTAATAACTATAAGTAACTTATCCTATAGTTAGAAACTAAGCTAACGGTCTGGTTATAGGGGAAGATAAGTAACGTAGTAAAAGGACGCGTATAAGGCGGGTTACGCGAAACTAAGAACGAGACTATAGTAAACTCTACCCTATCTATAGCTAAACTAACTAGCTAGAAACCCCGGGAATAAGGATAATTCTAATAGAAAGGAAATACGACGACTACGTTAAGATAGAATAATCTACGCTAGATAGATAGGGGCCTAGCACTAAACTAGTTAACTAGTCCTTAAACCGGACTATAGCCTTAGGATTCGAAACTAAAGGAGGGCTCTTAAGAAAACCTAATCGTTATTAACCTCGCCCGTTAGCTTTAAGCGGCACTAACTAACGACTAAGGTAGGATCTATCTTTCCTAGGAAATATAATACTAGATCCTATTTACCTAGGATAAAGGGCTAGAAGATAGTAATACTACCGCTAACGTAAGAGAAGAAACTAAAGAAGTAGAAGATAAGATTCTATTTATTCCTAATATAATAGAACTAGAACCTATAGGACCGAGCCGTTCGCTTAGAATACTAAGGAACTAGCTAACTATAAGAGCGGCGCTATAAACCGAAATATTAGATCTATTAAAGCCGTCTTAGTTTACGTACGCCTAGATATCCGTCTTCGGAACTAAAGGCCTAGACTAGCTATTAAACGTATATATAGACTTTAGTATAGCCCGCTCTATAATTAAGGAAGACTAGCTTAACTACTTTAACGATATAACCCTTAATATAACTTAGTAGGTCCTACTATCTAGTATAGGGAAAAGCCGAACTAAGGGTTAGGCGACCTTAATAATAAATATCCTAGGGAAATAAGGAATAGGATTTAAGGTTAGATAGTTTACTATCGGCGCCTAGGTAGTCTAGACCCTATTTATAGGATTATTACTTAGATAAGATTTCTTAGTACTAAACGAAGTCGATATCCTAAATTCTAAGAGAATAATATCTATTAGCTTATACGGTAACTTAATAGTCGTAGCTCGCTTAACTTAACGGGGCTACGCAATCCGTCGTTAGGTTATATACTAAGCTAACGTTAACGTCCTTATATATAGGATAGAACGCCTACTAGCGTAGATTAAGGACGTACTAAGGGATCGTGACCTAGTATTCTTTCTAAGAGACCTATTATTAGCTTATAACTTAATCCGAGGTATAACTCTAGTTACGGCGGTTAATACTACCGCTCGCCGCGTTAGATTTAAAAAAGGATAGCACTTAAGGACGCTAGTAGACCTTAGCGACGAAATATAGTTCTTATAGATTAACCTACCTAAGGAAACCCTAGCTAGGGTAACTCTAACTAAAGAGCCGGCCGTACGTAAAACTACGGAATATAGCGACCTATACTAGGTTACTAACCTATTAGTAGAAACCCTAGAAGAAGGGAGCCCTAAGTCTATTAGAGGGGAACTCCCTTTATAGAC